AACGTTATTGGCCGGCCTCTTCTCCGATCCCCTGGGTCCCCCATCTGCCCGCGGAACGAGAGAGGCCTACTCCTGCAGTCAGGTCCTCGACTGGGGACTTGGTGTGGCTCTGGGATGCCGGCACCACCCTAAGTCTCTCCACGCCTTTCGGGCGTCCAGGGACTGGTTTAGGATTCTGGGACACTGGTCTCCTTAAACCTCTCCCTCCCGGGGTCTGTGATATATTTTCCTCACCATGGGATTGGCACAGTCGACCATTGCCTCAGACACCCCGCTAGATTGCCTCCTAAGGGCCCTGGGGCCTCGTCATCTAGGGCCTGATATTCAACCCAAGCGACTCATTCTTTACTGCCGTATCAATTGGACAATGGGTCCAAATGGCCTTACAACAGTACCTTTGACTTCCAAATTTTGACTGATCTTGACAATTTCTGTCACCACAATGGCAAATGGTCTGAGGCCCCATAAGTCCAGGCCTTCCTTCTCCTGCACTCGCATCCCTCCCTCCTCAAGCACTCCTCAGACACCTTCCGTTCCCCCGTCTCTTCCATTCTTTCCCCCTCTTCACCTTTGGACACCCCTACGCCTGATACCTCGGCTTCAGCCACTCCAGTGCCAACCCTTCCTCCTCTGACTCAGTCTTCTCCTGGTCTGGCCCCCTCCTGGACTAATGTGGCCACCTCTGCGGACCCTCTCTCTCCTCGGCACGCCATATGCATTCCCATACCGTTTCCCATTCTCTCCTTCCTCTCTGTGAGGTTGCCAGACCCAGGGGACCCCACGGGTCCACTACCCATTCCCCCTTTCTGACCTATCCCAGATTGAAAAACGTCTGGGAGACTTTTCAGCAGACACGACCATCTTTATTAAGGAGTTCCGCTACTTGACTCAATCACTCGATCTCACCTGGCATGACATCCATGTTATTCTATCCTCTACCCTTACCCCTAAGGCGTGTCAGCAGGCTCAGTTGGGTGCCCAGACACACGAGGACCAGGCTCACCTAGAACACCCCAACTCAGCCCCAGCTGGGTAGGTGGCGATTCCCACCACCGATCCCCACTGGGACTACCAAGAATGAAGTCCTGACCACGCCCTCCGGGATCACTCCATCTTCTGTATTTTGGGGAGAGGGCTTCAGGCAGCGGCACAAAAGATTGTTAATTTTGACAAACAATGGGAGGTCACTCAGGGCCCCCAGGAGAATCTGGTGGCTTTTCTTTCCCGCCTTACGGAGACTCTCCAGAAATTTACCCGCTTAGCTCCCAACTCGCTGGCAGGACAAACCTTGCTTGCTTCTCACTTTATTTCCCAGTCAACCCAAGACATCAGAAAAAAGCTAAAAAGGTAGAGGAGGGCCCTCAGACCCCCATGTGAGACCTTCTGAATATGGCCTTTAAAGTTTTTAATGGGAGGGGCCTCCCCTGGTGGCGCAGCAGTTGAGCGCTGGGTTGAGAGGCTGCCAGCAGCCTCTGCAGCGCAGGTTCAATCCCCGGCCACCAGCGAGGCTCCCACCAAAAAAAAAAAAAAAGTTTTTAATGGGCAAGAAGATCAGGAAAGAGCTGAGAAGGACAACCGTGCTCGTCAAAAAGCCCAACTCCAGGCACAGGCCCTGGTTGTGGCTCTTAGGCCAGCCGTTCCCCTGGCTCCCTCGTGTGGACCACCATGCCCGGACACCTGCTTCAAGTGTGGACAACCAGGACACTGGGCCAACCGCTGCACGCAGCCGTGCTGCACGCCACCCGGACCCTGCCCCTAGTGCGGAAAGAAGGGCCACTGGAATGTTGACTGTCCGGAAGGACACCAGAGCTCCCGGCCAGTCCCTACCTTGTCTGTGCCCCTGCTCACAGAGGTCTTGGGTTTGGCAGCTGAAGACTGAAGGGGCCCGGGCTCTACCCTGATCATTGCTGAGGAGCATAGGGTGAGCATGGAAGGAGCAGGTAAATCAGTCTCCTTCCTGGTTGACACAGGGGCTACTTCTCGGTCCTTCCCTCCTTTCCTCGCCCTTTGCGTCCTTCATTGGTCTCAGTGGTAGGAATTGACGACACTCCAACCATGCCCTGTCTACGGGACTGGTTACACTGGGGTGGCAGCTACAAGTCGACCCCCAAGTTTGGCATACCTCCTTATGTATGGCAAGCCCTTTTTATACAACCCTGTGCTTCCTCCCTCAGACGGCCCATTATCAGATGACCTTCCTGCATTATCTCTCCTCAGACACTTGCTCCGACAACACGCGGACGCCTCTCTATCCCAGCCTCCTCTGACCGGGCCCTCGTGGTCACACAAGTTCCAGCCCAGAGACCAAGTCTTGCTAAAGACCCTTCACCATGACACTCTCAAACCACGCTGGACCGGCCCACACACGGTCATCCTTACCACGCCCATGGCTGTTAAACTTCTGGGCCATGGTAACTGGGTTCATTGTTCCTGTATTAAGGCTGATCCTGGTACTTACACTTCTACCCAACTTGGCCTCACTAAGCTCCGCATCATCTGTAAGTGATCCCAGCTATCAGCCCCAGTTTCAGGTTCACGAGACCTTCATGATGGGCCAGACTCAAGTAACCCATCTAGTGGGCAGAGCTTTCTTAACTAAACAACGAGAGTTGGAAGGCATAACCATTCCTTTAAACCCTCTGGGTTCCTCAACGCTGTCAGACCTAATGCTTTGTTTTCTCTATGACCAAACTCATAGCTACTGCACAGAGACGAGATGGAAGGAGTATGGGGGATGTCCATATTGGTCCTGCCAGGTACACTTCCCAAATCAGCCTAATTCGCTACTCAGGCAGCAGGACCTAAGTCAACACTCCACCACAGACTTAACCACACTCCGCCAGAACTTTTCTCTCCTCATTCCTGACCCGCTCCATCAGCGCTGGCAGGAGGGGGTCACCGCAGCCGTCTACTCGGGAGTCAGCAAGTCCTATCCAGTAGGGTCACTCCAAATTATTCGGATCCTTGCCCCATCCCAAATTTAATGGCTACCGTTGCCCAGAATGCCCTTCACCATGAACAAATCATCCTGAGCGACAGATAGAGGATGGATCCACGGCTGCCCCAATCCCAAATGTTTTCATGGTCTGACTTTCTTTCACATTCCCTGCGACTCCTCAATTCCATGGTCCCAGCATATAACTCCACTAACTGCTTACTTTGCTCTTCGCTTGCTCGACCTCCATTGGTGGCCGTCCCTCTTCACAATTTGTCCTCGCCTGATCAGCCGACCCCTCCAACGGGCTCATGCTCCATCCAAGGACGGACATCTCTGTGGACTGCTCTCCCCCTTAACCTATCCTCCTTTCAATGGACCGGCAACTCCTCCTGGCTCCATGGACATCGGTGTATACACAATAAGACTGTCTCTACTGTCACGCATCCTCCCCCAGGAGGTCTCTTTTGATGCCATGGTACCCTGCTTTCTTGTCGATGCCACCATGGAGGGGCCATGCGTCTTGGTAACGCTGGTACCCCAGGTCACCATATATACCCTACCAGAACTAGCGTGGTTTCTCCCTGACTCATGCCCACGCAGGGCCCTCTTTCTTCCTGTGGCAATAGGCTTGGGCTTGGCAACCTCAGTTGTCTCCATTGGGGTCACAGCAAGGGGATGGGCTTGAGGGGCTTCCTTTTAGAACAACTTGAAACGGACAGTAAGACGGCGGCCAGATCCATAAGCTCGTTGCAGAGATAGGCAACCTCCCTAGAGGCTTTGGACCAACAAAATCGGAGGGCTTTGGACCTCCTGCCTGCAGACAAGGGTGGCCCCTGTGTCTTCCTGAGGGAGGAGTGCTGTTACTACATTAATGAGTCTGGTTTGGTTGAAAAGGATGTCAACAAACTCACTAAAATAGCTGAGGATTCAAGGCGCACCAGGGGTGGCTCTCTAACCCCACAGTATCTTGGCTTACTCCGTTCCTGGGACCCTTGGTTATGGTTACCATTTTTTTCGCCCTCACCTCCTGCCTGCTCCACTTTGTACTCTGCAGGGTCCGCTCAGTGGCTCAAACCACGTTCAACCAAATGATCCTGTGACTAAGATACCAACTCCTCACCCTGGCTAGACAACGAGGCACCTACCTGCCTATGCAACCTTAATAATCCTCGGGCGCCTCTTGGGTCCACCTCCCACCTCCCTGGGTCGACACCCCTGTTCAGCAGGAAGTAGCTAAGATGACTCGTCGCCCCTGTTCCTATCAAAAGGTGGGCATGTGAGGCCCCAGGCGGCCGAGAAGGCAGCTGAGGAGAATGGAAACCTAGGCCAGAGACATTTCTCAGAAACAACCCAGCAACAGCCAGAAACCCGAAACCTAACCAAAAAACGACATGGGACAGAAAGTCCCCAATACGGATCAGCAATGGCTGCACAAACAACTCCTGGAACTGCACCTCCCCCATAAAATTTCCCATTCCCGTGGACGGACATAAAAACCCACACACCCTGCTTCAGGGCGCGACTTCTTGGACCCCCCTCTCGGAGTCCCTGAACCTCGCCCGGGAGTGCAAATAAACCCTCTTTACTTTGTCCTCTGACCGGGACCGGCCGTCCATCTTTCCTGTCGTTTTCTCTGCGGGCCGCTCTTTCATTGGGTGCTGCTCTTTCACCTGTGACCTCTGTGTACATCTCTGTGTAGATGCTTGTTCATCTAATAAAAGTTTCCCCCTTGGTAATAAGCTGGACTTATATTCTTTCAAAATTTAAGGGCAGGGGCCTCCCCTGGTGGCGCAGTGGTTGAGCACTGGGCTGCGAAGCCGCCAGCAGCCTCTGCAGTGCCGGTTCGATCCCCGGCCGCCGGGGAGGGTCCCACGTGGCACGCAGACCTCTCCTGCCATGCCCGCTGCTCCCCTCAGCAGTATATTTCGTCGGTCTCCCTGTTCTGTTCCCCGCTCTGGCTCTGGTGAATTCTCTCACCCTCCCGTGCTTCTGACCGTACCCAGTGCTTGTATAAATAAATAAATAAATCTTTTTAAAAAAAAAAATTTAAGGGCAGGTCTTGGGTCAAAATGGCGGGCAGGCCAGCTGTTTCAGCATCAGGCAGGTGGCTGGAGGGTATTCGAAAATGGTATTACAATGCTGCAGGATTCAATAAACTGGGGTTAATGCGAGATGATACAATATGAGGATGATGACATAAAAGAAGCCCTAAAAAGACTTCCTGAAAACATTTATAATGACAGGATGTTTCGCATTAAGAGAGCACTGGATCTAACCATCAGGCAGCAGATCTTGCCTAAAGAGCAGTGGACAAAATACGAAGAGGATAAATTCTACCTTGAACCATACCTGAAAGAGGTTATTCGGGAAAGAAGAGAGAGAGAAGAATGGGCAAAGAAATAATCATGTAGTCAAAATCTGGCTGCAGCTGTCCACAAAGGATTTTTATGAAGTTACTTAAACCTCAAATGTGCAATTTAGAACTTATCTGAGTTGCATGTGTATTACTTTAAATAAATATCTACTGTAAAAAAAAAACAACAAAAAAAAAATTTAAGGGCATAGTTGGGTTTATAAAATCACTTCAGTGGAAAATCCTTGCCAATATAGTCTGTATGTTCCTGGAAAAGGTCTAGATCAACAGAGTTATAAATACTATATTGACATTTTTGCATGCATCTCAGCCATTTTTCATTTTTATTACAGAAAAAAAAAATGCCCAGAGATCAGGATTTTATTTTAATAAACATTTACTTTCATGTCCTTAGTAACTTTTCACACAGACAAATGTATTGCCCCAACCTGAGAAGTTACTAGCTAGCAGGAGAATGTGATTTCTCAAGTATTCTAGTATATAAACAGGCCAGGAAAAGAGAAGGCCAGGGCACAGAAACAGGAGACAGAGACAAATCTTTCTGTAACCCCTGAAAAAAAACAAAAATGCAGAGTGTCATTGACCTTCAAGGATAGCCAGATGGATAAATGTTTATAAATAATTTTCAAAATAAAAGTCACCACAGAAGGGCTGAAGCTTTTTATTAATCCAGCTACAACACTTTCTTGGTTTTTCTATGCTGCCTTCAAGAATCTGAAAAAAATTTCACCACCACCACCAACCCCTACACACACACACACACACACACACACACACACACACACACACACGTTAATGACCTTCTTTGACCTTCCTTGGTGGACGTTTTCACTGATTCATGACATTATCAAAATCTCTCTCGGAAGAGAGGAGGCTTGCCTGTGTGTGGCCCTACCATCATAGTAAAAGTTCATATTTAACACACCTGAGTGAAATAACAGCCATGGGGACACTGCACTCCCTTAACTCACTGGAAAGGATTCAAGAAAACTATCTTCAAGGAAAATGCTTACTGACATATTAGTCTGGGGCTTCACTACACTTGCTGCAAATGCAGATCAATAACAATGCCAAGCCAGGGGCCAAGACCAGATTCTAATAATCCATGTTCACCCCCAATATTTCATGATTGCATTGAGTTTAACTCCTCACAGGCTGCATGCAGTTCAGTTTGGAAAAAAGATTTTGTCAACCAAAATCCAGTGGAACATACTGTACCAGGAGCTATTGGTCTGGAACACCCTCCCCAGCTTATCCATCTGGTCTCCCCTTTCCTCACATTCCTCCAAGGCTGTGAAGAAGAAAGGCATGGAATAATGATCAGGGTGAAGGCCAAGGAAATTGATTATCCATTCCCTTCTTCTCAATAATAATAAGTGGATAAATAGGGTGAAAGAATTAAAAGTGGGGAAGGGCATGTATCAATGTTGTTTCTGTACTTTTTACACTACCGATGTGATTTGTAAAATGCTAAAGTACACAAATAGTGTGATGCGTGCTGACAGCTTGACTTACTTTGTCCCTTCTAGGCACAGGACTGGGCTATCCTGGAACCCTCGCATAGTAAGGCCTGCGTCAGCACCATTGTCCAGGCAAATACTTTGTGCTGCACAACTTGGTGAAGACTCTTGTGATGATCAAGTTTTGCAAGAAGTTGGTACAATAAACGTAATCCTCAGCCTGGCTCTTTTTTTTTTTTTTTTTTTTTTTTTGTGGGACCCTCGCCAGTGGCCAGGGAACAAACCGGTGCTGCAGAGGCTGCGGGCAGCCCCACAGCCCAGCGCTCAACCGCTGTGCCACCAGGGGAGGCCCAGCCTGGCTCTTTAAGATGATTTTTTTTTTAAAAAAATAAGAATGTCCTTCCCTTGAAATACTGGATTTGAAATGATTATCACCAATGGCTGCTAAAAATACCAAGTCAAAAACTGATGAGGAAGGACAGATTGACAACATCAGAACTGACCAATCCATTGTAGCTACACACAACAGAACACCTGACATTCTCCTGATGGAAGTTCCAACACCATCTATGAAGTATTCCGGTCAAAGAAGCAACCAAAAGCTGATCTGATCAAACCTCTAGACCCGACTACCAATTTATAGCAAATACAGGAAACAAAACTACAAGTGAACCAATATCCTGGAGACAAAATCAGCACAATCTGGGAAACAACAGAGTAAATGATCCAGTTTTATCTGTGGCTGCCTTGCAAGGAAAATAAAAGGAAGCACGAGGAACTGTAGATTTTAAATGATGTCAAAGATTTCTCAAGCAAATTGGATGTGTTGATTTTGCTTAGATCCTAATTTGATAAAAATAGCTATTAAAAGTATTTACAAGACAATTATCAGAACAAGTTAAACAGTAATTGTATAGATGATAGGAAAGAATTATTTTATAAAATGCAATAAGTGGAGGCTATATTTTCTAAAATAGTTTGTGTCTTTTTGAATCATACATACAAGCATGTCTACTTACAAAATAGTATGATGTCTGGGATTTGATTGAAAATAATCTCATGGGGGCCTCCCTGGTGGTGTAAGGGGTTAACACACAGCACTATGAAGCTATCCACAGCCACTGCAACACGAGTTTGATCCCCAGTCAGAGAGGTGACCCACATGGCACAGCAGTCCTCTCCTGACTCACCCCTTGCTCCCCTCAGCAGTGAATTTCTGTCAATTTGCCTGTTCTGTTCCCCACTCTGTCTCTGGTGAATCCTCTCACCACCCCCACACCCCTCTGGCCTGTACCCCAGTTCTTGTATGCATAAATAAGGGAAACACAGGCCAAAATCACAGTCAGCCACATCTCACACCCAGGAGAATGGTCCATATTAAAAGACTCCCAAAAACAAGTGCTGGAGAAGATGTGGAAAAAGAGCATGTAAAATGATGCAGTCATTCTGGAAAACAATCTGGACCTACCTTACAAAACTAAATAGGGAAATACAGTAGGACCCAAGAATCCTACTCTTAGGCATCTATCCAAAGAACCTGAAACCATCAACTCAAAAAGTTGTGTTTCTGCTGTCTACTAACATCAAAATTCGTTAATTTGTTAAGGTGGAAGATGCAATGGAAAAAACTTGTTTTTCTATCATTTTTCCAATTTTACAACAAAGTAGTGTAGGAAATGGGAATTAAGATTCCAAATTGAAAGGAAGGGCTTTAACTGTCCTCTGGATTTGCTGTCATTATAATAATGACTTTGTACTAATTTATGACCTTGATATTTCTGGTGGAGAACATGCTGATAATTACACATTTCAATTAAAACCCTTATAAGTACTAACGTCACTCATCAAGAAAGCAGGTAGAGAAGCATAGTTGGGCTTTGACACAAGGGGTGTTTTGCATTAACCCCACCTTTACTTTTTCAAAACTCTCTCATTCTAAAATGAAAGATGGGAAAACCATAGTGGAAAAGAGTTATGGGCTGGGGAGCTTACAGTGGGATACAGTGAGGAAGCAGAGGGCTCTGGGGACTGAGTTACCCCACCAGGCGGCTTGGCCACTGTGCATGTTATTTCTTCCTGCCTTCACAGAGCAGTGCTGTCTTTCATCCTTAACACTTGTACAGGGCCGCTTGTATATCCCTCCTTCGGACACAGAGCAACAATTGCTGACCCATCAGAAATAAAGGGTCAATCTCAATAAGTAGACAGCATCTGTATCAATGCAGTAACAAACATGCTTTTAAGTGCATTAAGATGATCTACCCCGCACTGTGTTTGCAACCTGCTTCTTACCAATCACTAGTTTCATTTAGATAAGGAGGGAGGGAGGGACTTAACCTGGACAGAAACCAGAGACTTTGTAAACCATTAGTACCACCATAATGCAGACCCTGCTCTGTGAGTAAATTCTAAATTCATTCTGGAAAGCACTTTTAAGCCATTAAGTCTCCCAAACACGGAAAGTCACTAATGTCAGAGGACTGCAGCCGCAGGCTCTCTTCCTCCCATACTCCCAGCCAGTTCTCACTTCTCGAGACTTCCTCAAGCCCCCAGTTAGGGTCTATTCCCTAGAGCAGCCTACAGTGCAAACAATCCCTTCTGTGCAAAAATTTCAACCATCTCAGCCAAAGTTTATGCTGTGTCCAAATACATTTCCCACAAACTGCAACACTTGGTACCAAACTTCCCTATTAACCTTGCCTTTAAACCAAATACTGTGCTAGTTCTGCTGGGGCCACAGCAACAAATTCCCTAGCCATGGTAACTATAAACAGCGGATCCCTCCCCAACCCTCCCCAACTCCAGGCCCAACATATGATATCCAGGCACCAGCAGGAGTGGCTCCACTTGGAGGTCTGAAGACCAGTCACTCCCTGCCTTTTCCAGGGCCTCTGGGCCACTGTAGTCCTTGGCCTCCATGTTCACACGCCTTGTCCTCCATCCTCCCTGCTTTTGTGGGAACACTTGCCTTTGGACTGTGGTTCAGGTAGTCCAGGACTGGCTACACAGACCCATTTTTCCAAATAAGGTCACAGTCACAATTTCTGGGTGGGCCTATCTTCTGAGGGGGCCATCATTCAACCCACCACAAACATTGAACAAAATCATGTCTAAGACCATGTCATCTTGGAGAAATGATGGCCCAGAAAAGACACTGGCCTCAGTAACTTCTTCTAGCTAGTCCCAGCTCCCCACTTGATCCCCCAGCTCTAATCTCATCAATACAGGGGCCAACTCAGTTCTCCCTAACAGATCTCAGTCCATCTTTTTAAACTTTTTTCATTCTCATTCTCAGTTCCTTAGTTAAAGCAAAGGAGGAGGGAATAGACCAAAGTACATGTATTTATAACAGGAGGGTCCCCAGGGAAAGGGGAGGTTCCAGGTTCCCTGCCCCACCCACAGGAGGGTGCAGCTGAGCAAGGAGGAAGAGAAGTTGGAGCCGAGACTAGGTAAGGAAGGAAGCAGGATGGGGAGCCAGAAGGAGACCTGGAGGAGGCACATGGAGCCGAGAGACATGTGAAGAAGCTGCACTTGCTTCTTGGTCCTGGACTGGCTGAAACAGACGTGGGTGAGAGACCCATGAGGGGTTAACAGTGGCAGCATTTATCTTGATTTTAATTTTTTCCTCCCAGATTTGT